ATGAGGAAATTTGGCCTAGAATCCATGGTTCTTAATGATTTGGAGAGTCATGAGCCCCTTTGAGAATTTGATGAAAACCAGGGATCCTCTTCCTTAAAGCAGCACACATGCAAGAATAAACAAATTTGTGCCTTTTCAAGGTGTGCTTGGACCAGATGTCCATTGTCAAACTAGAACTCATCTGAAGGAATTCAATCAACTCAGAATATGAGTACCTCTTTATCATAACTTACCTTTCCAGGAGCCCTCTATCAGAGAGGTGAAAACACTCATGTTAGAAATGGTTTAATATAACCCTATCCCTGGGCCCTTATTTTGTGAGGAGACTCTTACTGGCCTGAAAACCCCTGAGCTACAGAGAACTTATAAAGCCTGTAAAATATGTAGTACTCGGTGAACTACAACACTCAAGAGACTTGGATGGAGCTACAACATTAGATGTAACCTGAAATATAGACATTTTGAAAAATCTGAGCACTGGAATACGGTTCATTTTAGACCCACGTTAGGTTTTACTGCCAGATAAGAACGTAGTGTGGAGTTGTCTCAGGCAAGGAACGTGAAATGCAAGAAGGAAATAAATGAGCACAGGGAACAGACTTGGGGGTCATGGCAGAGGCAGGAAGAGGAAGAAACCTCTAGACTGGTAGTCCAATGAATTGGATCCAGGTCACAGCCTCATGTCCACTCTCCATATGACCTTAAAAAAGTCAATGTTCCTGAGCTCTGGTTTCCTCACCTGTAAGGGTTATTAACAGCACCCAGTATGTAAAGGTCATGGAACCGAATCCCAGCCATGCAACTTGCTCTATAAACTTGGCAAATTAATGAGAACCTGTTTCCTCATGAGAAACTATTACTTTGGAGGATCCTTCTAAGAATTTAACTAGATTCTTTATGAAAAACATGTAGCACAAGCTTGCCACAGAGAATCAATAAATAGAAACTTGATTTCTAGTGCTCTCGTTAGGAACAAATGAGATGTTACTATGAGCATACAAGTGTTATTTATTATACTTACTCCTAATGGATACTGCTGAAAGGGGGGAAAATCAAGTTTCTTGCCTGTGCAGCTCCTATGTCTAAGATGTGTCTGGCTTCTTTTTGTGAAAGGCTTTTTCTTTTCTTTCAGTTTGTTTCACCTATGTGAACAGGATTCAAATTTTTAAAATCATTTCACTAATGTGTAGAGTACCAACTCAACAAGCCAAAAAGCCTAATCCTATCTTGGCAGCCAGATTACACACATTTGAAACTGAGCAACCAGGTTTGCAGGCTTCCAGAAAAACAAAAAAGTTTAAACTTGATAAGGTGGTTACTATCTTTATCTTTATGAAAAATAGGGAGAAAATCAACTGGTCCTTCCTGAAAGCCTACTGCATTGCACACAGTAAGCAGTCAAAAACTTGGTCAGTTGCATTTGAAGCAGCATGCAAATAACTTTTTTGTTATATACCTTGAGTAGATGACTATGTGTAAAACTGATATTGAAAGTTCAGGTTCTTCCATAATAGTTTAACTCCAAATGTATTTATCAGGGCAATTAAACTCTGGAAATAATCCCTAATGTTCCCAAAACTGATCTCAGGGAGGATTTTCTTGTTTCTAATTTAGCTAGCACTGATTAAAAGGTCTGGCTCCATGTTCTTTTGAGTTTGTAAGAAAGAGACCTTAATAGCCAATGGCAACTCATATCAAGATAAACAAGCTTTCAGCAGCTTACATTATAAATCCATATAAACTATTTGTAAGAATTCAGGATAAAAAGCTGGATACTGGTATTTTATAGAAGAAAAAAGGTACTCAGTCTTGTCTCTTTTGCCAATAACTTACTAAGTGATCTTGGAAAGGTATTTTTTGTTTGTTTTTTTGAGACCGGCCGCACCGCGCTCAGCCAGTGAGTGCAGCGGCCATCCCTATATAGGATCCGAACCCGTGGCGGGAGCGCTGCTGTGCTCCCAGCGCCGCACTCTCCCAAGTGCGCCACGGGCTCGGCCCTTGGAAAGGTATTTGGACCAGTTTCTCCATCTGTTTAGAAGGAAGGCGGTAATTGAGGTAGCGCCTGTAGTCTCTTCCAGTTCACATTTGAGTCTCAGTTCCTCGCCGTTTAGCTTATCTTTATGGTAGAGCCAGTTTAGGCCAAAAACAAAATCCCCAATAATGTTCTAACACGTTTAAGGTTCTAAATCACCACGCAGAGAGACTCTGATTAAAAATGGTGCTTGGCCGGATATTGGAAATTTAAAGAGCATTACACACGAGGTTGGAAGTCAAGTTAACTTCCCGACCTCTGGTTCCCTCTTTAAATAAAGTTTGTGAAATTCTTTATCAAGATTCTCCTGCGAACCCTTTGCTATCATGTACTGTTTATATAGAAAGATTCCCACAACTTGCTTTTGAGACCTGCATCCTAAACCAAAATAGCTCATGATACAGCCTCTAAGTCATCATTTATTGATTTATAGAGCACCCATCACATGATTGAGGTGCTTTACAATACAGTAAACATCACAACATAAGTCATCATTTATTGATTTATACCAAAATAGCTCATGATACAGCCTCTAAGTCATCATTTATTGATTTATAGAGCACCCATCACATGATTGAGGTGCTTTACAATACAGTAAACATCACAACAAAACTCACAATTAAATACAATAAACAAATTACAGAACTAAAAAAAGAGCTGGAATGAAGCAACATTATGTCAAATTTCAAAGATGCTGAGAAGTGGCAGTACAAAAAACATAATTCCACCAACTGGAGACCAGATGGGCAAAGATACACAGGCACCACATCCCAAAGTGGGCAGATTTGTAGAGGGTGAGTATGTAAAATAAAATTTCACAACTGAGAATGAAGGCCATTAGAAATACTACAATACCCAAAGGATCACAGAACTAGTAGAATAACCTCAGAAACATATTACCTTGTAATGATGAGGAAATCAACCTCATATGGATTTTAAACTCAAAAGAAGAGGCCAGAAAGCCAGTGAGATCATCCATCCCATTATAAACACAGACTGAAATCTATGAGCCCCTACAAGAACTTGGCATAAATTTAGGAAACAGCCAACAGCTCTACGATCCACAAGACTATGTAGATGTTGTTGATAGTTGGCACCAGGTTAGGGGGAAAAATCCTTTTCCTAAAGCAGAGAAGAATCACCTCACACTAATGATGAGGCACTGGTGAGACAAAAGCCACCTGGTTCAGTGTCATCTGAGTGTGGGCTTAATATCAAATGTAGAGGCATTTAAATTCACATTGTCAGATGAACACTGGGAAAGGCACAGATAATATCTCTGACAGAGGAAAAGAAGCCACAAAATCTATCTAGGCCTGTGTTTCAGATGTAGCACAGTCAGGGCAGCAGGTGGAAAAGAGCGTGAAAAGAAATGCACTTGTTCCTGGCTTTCCCTTCCACTCCCCTAGATCTAGCCCTAAAAAAACACATGATTATACCAAAGTAACTGCATTAAAGTGGCACTTAAAGTTCAAGAATAGTTGTCCCTGAGTTACTACATCTTTTGCTACTCGCTGAAGAGTCAAATCCCAGGTTTGAACTCAAAAGATTGCTAGCAGATCTATAGCAATAGGAGAGCAAAATTCCAACTCCATTTTGCCAAAAGCAACCACCATGTGAACAATTTCTGATTAAAGAGTAAAAGGGATTGTATCCCAAGTCCCTTGTAGGTATGTACTGCTAGCACTTTTGGGCACAATTTTTATGATCTTTGGGGGAAAAAACATTACAAAGTTCTTGAAGAAAATTGAGCTCCAATGAATCAAATGAAACAATTTTCACAGTTACTACATGTTTATGGATTTTTATAATGTTTACAGGTTTTTACAATGTTTGAATGGTGAACAGACTGAGATTTAGAAAAATTAGTCTCTGTGACTACATCTTCAACCATATTACTTCTGCTTTAAAAAGGACATACAGGGGCCGGCCCGGTGGCGCACTGGATAGTGCGCCGCTTGGGAAGCGCGGCGGCCCTCCCACCCGAGGGTTCGGATCCCACATACAG